GGTACATTAACACAGTGCTAGATAGGAAGTAGAGCAGAGCAACTGAAACTGGCACTCATAGGATGCCAGCATTACAGGCGGTGGCTGAACCCACTGTGCCACAATGCCAGCCCATGAAGAAAATATTTATAGTTATCTATATACCAAATAATATGATATCTGTGTATTTTCATACTCTCTCTCTCTGTCTCTCTCTCTCTGTGTGTGTGTGTATTAACTTCCTTATATGAGAGAATGTGGAATTTGTCTTTCTGTGTCCACCTTATTTCACTTAGCATAATGATTTCCAGTCCCATCCATTTTGTTGAAAATTTCAAGATTTCATTCTTTAAATGACTGAGTAATATTCCATTTACTGATTTTTAAGTGTCTGTCCCTGAAGTCAAATAAGTTCTTTATACTACTTTAACTCAGATGTGTTGGACTGTATTAATGTATGAAGAGCTGTTTTTAATGGAATAAGTTTCAAACCTATGGAATTAAAACAATACTAATCAAAGGCTAATACTTAAGCATAGAGATATCACCATCAATGGCAAAGGGAGTACTAGCACTACAAAACAGAGATAAGTGTAGGTGGGCCAATATTAATAAGGAAAAGCACACATTATTTTTTTAAATTTTATTTAATGAATATAGATTTCCAAAGTACAGCTTATGGACTACATTGGCTCCCCCCCCATGACTTCCCTCCTACCCACAACCCTCCCCTTTCCCGCTCTCTCTCCCCTTCCATTCATGTAAAGATTCATTTTCAATTTTCTATATATACAGAAGATCAGTTTAGCATGCATTAAGTAAAGATTTCAACAGTTTGAACCCACATAGAAACACAAAGTGAAAAACACTGTTTGAGTACTCGTTATAGCATTAAATCTCAATGTACAGCACATTAAGGGCAGAGATCCTACATGAGGAGTAAGTGCACAGTGACTCCTGTTGTTGACTTAACAAATTGAGACTCCTGTTTATGGCATCAGTAATCTCCCTATGCTCCAGTCATGAGTTTCCAAGGTTATGGAAGCCCCTTGAGTTCTCCGACTCTTATCTTATTTTTTTTTTATTTTTTTTAAACTTTTATTTAATGCATATAATTTTCCAAAGTACGACTTATGGATTACAATGGCTTCCCCCCCATACCGTCCCTCCCACCCACAACCCTCCCCTTTCCCACTCCCTCTCCCCTTCCATTCACATCATGATTCATTTTCGATTATCTTAATATACAGAAGATCAGCTTAGTATACATTAAGTATGGATTTCAACAGTTTGCTCCCACACAGAAACATAAAGTGAAAAATAATAGATGATTTTTTTAAATGATGATGAAATCAGAGCAGACCTATTGTCATGTTTAATCCCAGTGAGAGTCAAGTTGGGAATTGATAATTTCTTTTTTTTTTTTCTTTTCTTTTTTTTTTTTTACAGAGGATCAGTTTAGTATGCATTAAGTAAGGATTTCAACAGTTTGCACCCCCATAGAAACACAAAGTGACTCTTATCTTATTTAGACAAGGTCATAGTCAAAGTGGAAGTTCTCTCCTCCCTTCAGAGAAAGGTACCTCCTTCTTTGAAGACCTGTTCTTTCCACTGGGATCTCACTCACAGAGATCTTTCATTTAGGTCCTTTTTTTTCCCCAGAGTGTCTTGGCTTTCCATGCCTGAAATACTCTCATGGGCTTTTCAGCCGGATCTGAATGCCTTTAGGGCTGATTCTGAGGCCAGAGTGCTGTTTAGGACATCTGCCATTCCATGAGTCTGCTGTGTATCTCGCTTCCCATGTTGGATTGCTCTCCCCTTTATTTATTCTATCGGTTAGTATTAGCAGGCACTAGACTTGTTTATGTGATCCCTTTGACTCTTAGTCCTTTCATTATGATCAATTGTGAACAGAAATTGATCACTTGGACTGGTGAGATGGCATTGGTACATGCCACCTTGATGGGATTGAATTGGAGTCCCCTGGTATGTTTCTAACTCTACCATTTGGGGCAAGTCAGCTTGAGCATGTCCCAAATTATACATCTCTTCCCTCTCTTATTCCCACTCTTATATTTAACAGGGATCACATTTCAGTTAAATTTCAACACTTAAGAATAACTGTGTATTAATTACAGAATTAAACCAGTCATATTAAGTAGAACAGACAAAAAAATACTAAGAGGGATAATGTATTAAGTTGTTCATTAACAGTCAGGGCTATGCTGATCAAGTCACTGTTTCTCATAGTGTCCATTTCACTTCAACAGGTTTCCTTTTTGGTGTTCAGTCAGTTGTCACCGATCAGGGAGAACATATGGTATTTGTCCCTTTGGGACTGGCTTATTTCACTCAGCATGATGTGTTCCAGATTCCTCCATTTTGTTGCAAATGACTGGATTTCGTTGTTTCTTACTGCGGTATAGTATTCTAAAGTGTACATATCCCATAATTTCTTAATCCAGTCTACCATTGATGGGCATTTAGGTTGGTTCCAGGTCTTGGCTATTGTGAATTGTGCTGCAATAAACATTAGGGTGCAGACCGCTTTTTGTTTGCCAATTTAAATTCCTTTGGGTAAATTCCCAGGAGTGGGATGGCTGGGTCGAACGGTAGGGTTATCTTCAGGTTTCTGAGGAATCTCCAGACTGACTTCCATAGTGGCTTGACCAGTTTGCATTCCCACAAACAGTGGGTTAGAGTACACATTGTTTTTCAAGTTAAGCTAAGTAAGTTTGATCTGACAACACTTAGATTGGCAGATAGATGTCCCTCTATGAGATGAAGAATTGTTCAACACCATTCTTTAGTATTAGAACACTATTCTGTCTCCTGCACCTAACACAGTGCCTGGAACACATCAGAGGCAAGGTAAATATTTAAAGAAACAATGAATTAATCTATTTTCAGAATTATTTGTAGTCCCACTATGATTTTAACTTCAATCTTGAAAATACTTTTGATCAAAATTCCTTTTATATGAAGTAGATGAATAAAATTGCTGGTCTTCCAATCTATGACTACTTTATTGACATATAATAGGTGCTCAAAAACTATGAGGGTTCTTCAAAATAGATCATGGTAACTGGAATGAAAAGGTAAGTTTAGTTTGGTGCAATATTTTTTGATTTGAAATTTACACGAAAAGGGAGAAAGTCTGTGAATACATTTGGTAAAGACTATATCTTGACTTGGATTGACACACTGCAATAATGAAATTTGAGTGCATGTATAAATTATGCAGAATTAAAATTGGGTATGGACTAGGGCATGAAGTCATGGAGCAACTCAATGTGTACTAGGACCTGGCAGGCTCCAGAGGCCTGGCCATGGAGGCCTTCAGGTTGCTCGATGAGTCCATGTCCCTGCCCTTCTGGAACTCAGTGATGAACTCACTGCTGCTGGTTCAGGAGCACTGCTAGCACATCTGCGAATTCTACAGCAGGGCCAAGAAGATGAATCTCATCCAGACCCTCAGTAAGTACCTGCTGATAAGCCTGGCAGTCATTCCGATGCCTGGGAAGCAAGCATCATCAAACTGAGTGACCAGAACCAGCCTACCCTGCAGCTGGTGCTGCCTACCTAAATCAGGCTGCAGAAGCTGTTCACGGCCAAGACCAATGATGAGGGCACCATCAGTCAGCTGTGACACCTCTTCCTGGAGGCTCTCAAGGAGGACTTCCAAGTGCATCCTGCCCAGGGTGGCCATAATTCTGGACCCATAGCAGAAGCTGTGGACTGTGCCACCCTGCTAACCTGTGGAGATCATCTGCAAAGTATGCAAGCTCATCTGCAAGGTGAAGGGGTTTTGCACTGAGGAGGCTGATGTCGAGCATGCTACCAAGAAGCCTCACTGCACCACAGGTGAGCACTACACGGCTCAGGAAGATGATCAGCTAGAGAAGAATGAGGTATACCTGCAGAAGCTCCTCTTCCAGGCTATCCCTTGATCTCTTCCAGTACTAGTTGTGCAGGACCCAAAAGACACAAAATTCACCAAGTACGCCTTCTGTCTCTGGGTGGTTCTGTCCATGGAAGCACAAAGCAAGTGTGTAGATATGTGTGAACAAGCACTTCTAATCAAAAGTAGGCGACTGCTCTGAGGGGTCAGCGCTGTGGTGTAGCAGGTAATGCTGCCCCCTGCAGTGCCACCATCCCATATGGGCACTGGTTCGAGACCTGGCTGGTCCACTTCCGATTCAGCTCTCTGCTGTGACCTGGGAAAGCAGTAGAAGATGGCCCAAGTCCTTGGGCCCCTGCACCCATGTGGGAGACCCCGAAGAAGTTCCAGTTGTTGCAGCCAACCGGGGCTGAACCAGTGGATGGAAGACCTCTCTCTCCCTCTCCCTCTCTCTCTCTCTCTTCCTCTCCTCATTCTCTCTCTGTGTAACTCCGACTTTCAAATAAATAAATAAATCTTTTAAAAAAAGTTGTTGACTGCTTAATCCAGAAGATATGAACAAACTCATGTTTCAGAAATCCAACATGTTTTAAGATGTTAATTTCAGGGGAAAGAGAAAGAAAACAGAAGAGAACATTGGAAAACACACACACACACACACACAACACTGTCACAAACAAAGAAAAGGAATTTAAGTTCTAAACACTATGGACCTCATTATAAATGCCCCCTGGAAACTTAAGTGTTTTTTTCAGTGTGTGTGTGCATGTGTGTCCACACGTATAACCAGGTGTGCATGTGTGAACGTGTGCATGATTGCTGTGTGGGTGCAGAGGCCTCTGTGCCTGTATCCATGACCAGAGCAGCCTCGCATATGCATGCACACACAGACGACCCTGATGCGTGCACCTGGGCTTGCTGGTGAGTGTGTGTGCATTGAGCTGGGTGTGTCAGAGAAGCTGGGTGATGGAGAAAGAGAATGTTGTTTGCCTTCCTCTTGGGAACGGAGCTCTAGAAGACTCCGTGTTCAGGTTTGCCAATGGGTGGGTTGCTGAGGTTGTAAAATGTTCTGAAAGCTGAGATCTGAAGTGACTTGATGCTCTCTGTCCTTCTCCCACAGCCGCACTTCTGTGCCTCCGCCTCCCCCGCTCTGGCTGCTTTGCCATGGAGTCTCCTGCAGGCATCAGATGGACAGTGTCTGCAGTGGACTTTACTTCTTTTCACCTTCTGGGCACTGAGCTGCTGCCCTTGTGCCACTTTAGAAACACATGTATCTATCCCCCCAAATCAGGAAAGGAGACTTTTAAGGTAACATTTTACTTTTTAATATAAGGGAGAGAGAAAAAAAGACTTTTTTTTCAGAAAAAAAAAAGAAATTAGAAATATTGTGGTTGCTAAAAGAAAAAGAGGTGAACAGAAAAATATTCTTCTCAGGAACTATTGGTAGTATAAATAGCATTTTATGAATAAGAATTGTGTCCTTCAAAGTATTCATTACATGCATTCCAGTGCATACAGCATGGATGAATGGACAATTGCAAACACCTCTCATGGGAGATTTGAACTTGCATTCACATTATGGCAGGTGCTTCATAATGTGGAAGTAGTTACAAAATGTCAGTTTCCCTTGCTATATGATGTGTAGGAAATAAAAGTTCTTAAGCAATGGTGGTATAATAGGAAGGACAGTTTTGGGTTTTCCTGTAGTATCAATTCAAAAAAGCTAATGTCCACCTTTAGTCCATGGTTATTAATGAAAGCAGTAATTACTGTTGATCTAGTGAGTTTTATCAGAGTGTAACTCTGCCTTGTAATCACCTGAAAGCATGTTAACAATGTACATCCCATTAGAGAAATGCAAATCAAAACCATGATGAGATAAACCTCACACTCATTAAGATGACTATTAATTTTTTCAACTTTAATAAATATAAATTTCCAAAGTACAACTTTTGGATTGTAACAGCTTTTTCCCCCATAACCTCCCTCCCACCCGCAACCATCCCATCTCCCACTCCCTCTCCCATCCCATTCTTCATCAAGATTCATTTTCAATTCTCTTTATATACAGAAGATCAACTTAGGGACTGCTGGAGGTCTGGTCAGTTCTGAAGTAATAGATGAAATGCTATGGTAACACCCAAGTTGGGCATGGTAGATCTCCTCTATAGTCAGCAGGGGGGACATTATGATCATGTCTGCTGCCATAATGCAGCCTCTTGTCATCTCTTCCAAGGTGATCAATGCCTGGGGTTAGCCCACTGTGGCTACAACCCCCACTCACACAAGCACATTAACCACATAAAGGATCTGTGCGGTCCTCAATGTGAGCATGGAACCCTCTGCAATGACCTACCACAGGCAATCAGGGAGCTCTGAGTCTCTAACGCCAGAAACAGTGATTGCCCAGAGACCCAGCTATATCCCAAGCACTGTCATACAATCACAGAATTCCCACAGTTATAGCACACACAACTCCCACATCTATGGGGAGCAGGGCATCTGATCTCAGCTTTTTGTGCCTGCCCCTGTCCACAGAGAAACCTGAGGCATTCTCAGCCTGGGGGTGCTAGGCTTGGCAGTTTGAGCCCTGGTGACTATGATAGGATGGGTGGATGGGAACACCTCACAGTCCTAAGTGGGTGCCCTGTCCTCTGCCAATCCTCCAGGCCAGACTCAAAGTCAGTGGGGAACATGGATTTATCCATCTGATAAATCCCCTAGTCACATGCAAGAGCTGCCATAGACTCTACTGGTATTAAGATGGAGCATTCCCCCTGCTGATTGTTAGTCTTTGTTGTTGGGGGATGCGTCAAAAGAAATGTGCTTTTCTTTCAAGTGCAGATCATCTTAATGTCTTCTTTCTCTGAGATACTCCTTTGTATGGAGCAAGGTTACTTGAAATGGTTTCTATCATCTTGGTCAAAGAAGCTTATAGAAGCAGATTATCCAGGTAAGTGCAGAGATCCAGACAACTTTGACTGAAACAACATTTATTAATGAAGTTCAGTGTTGGAAGTGCAGAAGCAAGCAAAATGAAAATAGGTTGTCTTGTGCATATCAAGATGATCCTCCTGATTCTTGGTTATTCTTCCTCAGCCACAAGAAAGGATTGGCACAGATGTGATCACATTTTCTCCTTGGCTCTTCTTGTGACTGACAGCATCATTTACCAGATGTTCAGTGGGCAAGGGGATGTCATGTGGTTGTGACATGTGGCAGAGTGAAGTGAACTGACCTATGTGGGTTTTGTATTGATAGCACTCATATAAGGTTTTCAGAATCTTATTTAATATAAGGTATAGAATTAAACAAAGTTTATGTAAATCAGTTCAAACCAATGGACTTCAAAAGAAGAAAATATCATTCATTGTGATTTCTAATCCTCATTTTTTTGCACAGATATCCAAGGATAGGGGTTCAGATGAGGTTTTAGTTTAGAAATGACAACATCTTCATATGGATGCCAGAAGGACTTTGGTGCATATCAATTGCTAGCAAGAATATACTCTTGGCCCTGAGCAGACAACTTGAAATGTCAAGTGTTTCAGGAGTAAAGGGCTGAATATCCACTAAGTCAGAGTCTCCAAATCTCAAGATCCTCAATACGATTGATTTTCATCTCTAGCGCCTCTGCTGAAGAAAATACTGGCTCTAAAGAGCTCCTTGAATTTCTTGAAGTATAAAAGTCCTCTCCAGGTTGAATGTTCTTTTACATTTCTGTGCTTCAAATCTATGGATGTATAGGAATCAAAGTTAAACATGCTGTCACACACACAGTTCAAATTCCACATTTTGCTGCAGACATGGAATGGGCCATCTGATCATGTTGCCTTGTAGTTACCTATGTCACTAGTCACACTCTTAGCGTTAGTACTAACAAAAATGTCAGAGCCATTTTGAAGTTCTCTATGGATTCAGCCTATATCTCTCCCTCACCCCCTTCCTTGTTTATCCACCACCTGATTTGCACTGGTGTAAGCTCTAGTAGATACACTTATACTTCCATTTCCATAAAGGATTTTCCTCCTTTCCTTCTTTCCATTGTCTGAATCTAGTTTGATTTTTACAGTAAGGCTCCAACCTGCTTTTGTTTGCAGAATGAATGACCTTGGAATCTTTTGTTTGGGGAGCATATCACTCTTGCCTTCTAGCTAGTAATCATTGTCATATGATGTAAACTGCATAGGTTACAAATAGAATTAGGAAAGGTGACATGTACCTTTTGATTGAACATTTTCACATTATGGAATCATTGGAAAAGAATTATGAGCCCTCACATGGTATATGTATGTATATATGTATATAATGCATATAATATGCACATATATGTATATAAAATATATAAATATGTGTATGTATACATCTATAAACATAATTTGTAATAGGATTCAGATAGGGTACCACTCCTTCCTCTCCCATTTTGGGGCTGAGTTTCTTCACACTGCAGTATTCGTTTTGATAACCATGCAGAGACAGATGGCATTTTGTCTGCCTTCCAGAACAGAGGAATAGTTTGCCGAGCGATAGCTAGTATAATGAGAAGCCGTGTAAGTTGAAGATGAGGTAAAACCGGAGCATCTGTCAGTCCTTGTGTGCCAGATTGGAGATGCTGCAGACAAACTAATATTTCAACAAAAAGTTGAAGTGAGTATAGATTTGTGACCAAAATGATTGCGTTTGATAACAATGCCATAGCAGATGTCCTAGAGTTCACGCTTGGTTTTTATTACTGCTCTGTGAGTGGTTTTGGAAGCAAGACCTACCGGCACAGCTTGTATGGAACATGTTCGTTATAAAATTTTATTTTACAGAAAACAATGAGATGGAAAATTTGTAGCTAATTTGGTACTTTCCTACTCTGTCATGTTTCTTATTATTTGGAAAAAGATTCTATTCTTGTTTGATTTATGTTGTTCTTTTCTAGCCTAATGAAAGAACATCATGTTAATTTGAAGTGTAGTATGAAAACTTGAGTTGATGTTCATGCTTTAACATTGTTTTTGGTATGCACCTTGGAAAGATACACTTTAACCTATCCAGAGTCTTGTTCATCCATTCTGTATTATGTTTGTTGTTGTTACCCGGGAGAAATTTTTTAAAAATTCCTCTTTGGGAACCCGGATTAGAAAAGAATGAGGAGACTACCTGTGCACTGTGTTGAAATATGTTGTACATGATACATACATGTACAAGATAATTTTATTTGCCAGTTAAAAATTAATTTTTAGAAAAGAAGCAGGAGAACCATGGCTTACCCACTAGTAGTAGTAGTTGATAATTCACTGAGATAGTAATTGTTTTACATTCAGATGATTTAATTTCTTTACATATTGTGAAAAATGCTTTTATAAGTATGCATGATGCTTTTTGAGCTCAGTGTTACATATGACAGTGTTAACACTACTCATTGTATAAAAAAGCCACTGGCTTAGAATCCAGCTCCCCATGATGTGTGTATTATATAAAGGACAGTTACTCTGGGTTTCAGTGGAATAAGAATCAGCTACATAACCTGATTGCCTTACAAAATATCCTTATTGGGAGAAAGCAATTATTCTAAAACGTTGATGAATGCTAATAAAATGTTATATGTGGTAGTCAAAATGTTATAGCATTGAGTTTACATGTAGGAGGATAGTCCAATTACATACATGAATATTTCCTATTAAAGAGGCTGTTAGGGCCATTTCTCTGCTATATCTTGTAAGTGAGTCATACTCCAGGACATGTGTTCCTTCAATACCTATAACTCAATTGCTCTTGGGAAATATATGGTTTCATTTCTGGCACTCCTCTTTTTGCTTTGCTTTGAGGTCTTAACTCGGATTTTTCTATTTCCTAGCAGTTTGCAGTTTTGGCAGTCTTTTGGTTACATTGAAACTAGGAGCATGGTTTTGGATTTGCCTGCATGGGTTGAAGCTGCATTTGTTTTATAGAGTACTGAACCACACTCCCAGTGAGTCTCACTTTGAATTGAAAATGTTATGATATAATAACACATTAGTGTGTTAAAATAGATATGCATGAAATTAAATAAACATGTCTATACTAAATGAAGAGAAAGAACTCATTTGATTTTTCTTACATCTACTTAAAGGCAATCTTGCTAGTCTTCTGTCCTTATATTGCTTGCTTTCTGAATGTTATTTTTTAAAGAAAGTTTTATTATTTTTTAACAGTGAGTTTCATATTTTTTGAAAAACATTGGATTCATTGTAAATCATTAGCAGACATATCTAATGTAACAAATTATATATCTGAGATAGTAGGCTTCTGCAATTTTAAGTTGCTTAATTTTTTGAATATATGTACATTGAATTGTAGAAATATTTGGTATAATTTAAAAATATTTATTTTGAGAGAGAGACAGACAGACAGTGAGGAAGCACTTGCTTCTTTTGGTTCACTCTCCAAATGCCCACAATGGCTGTGATTGAGCTGAGGCTGAAACCTGGAGTGAGGTACTCAGTCCAGGTTTCCCAGGTGGCGAGGACCAAATTATTTGAACCGTCACTGTTGCCTCCCAGGATCTGCATTAGCAGGAAACTGGATTCAGGTGGCTTAAGTGAGCATCAAACCCAAGCACTCTAATGTGGGATGTGAGCTTCTTAACCACTAGACCAAATAGCTGTACCTTTTGCTCTAATTTTAACTGTCATGCCATAGAGAATTGACCTGTGATGCCCATTAATCCTAACAGATCATTTCCTTGCTTTCAAATTTTCAAAGGTCCAGAAGAAACGTGTTTGTATGGCATTCAAGGTCTTTCACACCTGCCCCCTTCCTAGCCGTGACCCTATCTCCCAGCACTCCTCACTACCCTTTTATCACACACCATTCATTGAGCTGCAACCCTCAAAACTGAAGCTATACCAACACTTCCTCATGCTCCCATGCTTTGTCACATGCTGTAGCATCTGAATGAAATGTCATTTCTATTGTCCACGCTTTGTCCTTTCCAGTAATTGTCCTTTTCAGATATTGCATTTATATTCTGGCACTTGTATTTCTTGAAGTTGTCAATTGAGTATACTATATAGATAACTCATGTGAGCTGCTCTACAGATTCAGGGTGAAGATATGCCTATATTTCTCATTTTCCCCATTAACTCCCCAAGTTTCTACCTGCTCATTGTCAGGAAATGCCGTATCTCTATTGATACTTCTCCTCTCATGCCCAACAAATTTCTAGGAACTCCAAGACTTCCCACACTTCAGAGAAGGTAGGCATCCTGTCTTCTCCATCTAAAGAAAGGTGAAACTGGAACCCACTTTCCCTCTTGCTATTGCCAACTAGAGATGATTTAGAAAATTGGCAACATTAAAAGGTTCCAAGATGATTTTTCTTGCACTTCTCACCCTGGGAATGAAGGCAAACATATATTTGATTTTCATGAATCATCCCTCTTTTGTAGAGTTTCAAAAAGGAGGAATTTGAGTGACAACATATCTGTACCTTAATATAAAGAAGACCCTACACTTATATCAGGACTTCATGATAATTCATGCAGTAGAAATATAGCTGATAGGGGCTAGTGCTGTGGTGTAACTGCTGAAGCCTCTGTCTGTTGTGCTAGCATCCCATATGGCTGCCGGTTCAAGTCTGGGCTGCTCCACTTGTGATCTAACTCCATGCTAATGTGTATGGGAAAGCAGTAGAGGATGTCCCAAGTACTTTGGCCCCTGCACCTTTGTAGGAGTCCTGGAGGAAGCTCCTAACACCTGGATTTGGATCATCACTGCCCTGGCTATTGCAACCATTTGGGGAGTGAACCAGTGGATAGAAGGTATCTTTCTCTCTTTCTCTTTCTCTCTCTCTCTCTTTCTCTTTCTCCCTCCCTCCCTCCTTCTCTCCCTCTTTCTGTAACTCAGCCTTTCAAATAAATAAAAAATATAGCAGATAAATTGGCCACTTGTTTTAGACAAATAAATTGAGACTCAGAGAAGTTAAGAAATGTATTTAAGGTCACAAAATAAGCACAGTCATTAATTTGGGACCAGAATACCAACTTATTGAAATAAGCCATTCCCAAAGGGACAAATATCATATGCTCTACCTGATCTTGATAACTAATAGAACACCTAAAAGGAAATCAGTAGAAGTGAAATTGACACTTTGAGAAGCAATGACTTGAACAGCCCTTGTCTTGACTGTCAAGGAACTATTTTTTTTCTTAATGGAGAATAGGACTGGGAATGGGAGAGGGAGGAGGAAGTGGGGTGGGAGTTGGGGTGAGAGGGTGGGTATGGTGGGTAGAATTACTATATTTCTAAAGTTCTACTTATGAAATTTGTACTTATTAAATGAAAGTTTTCTTTGGGAAAAATATGTATATACTTTATGGTTCTCCATTGACCTGAGCAAATTATATAGATCTATGTGACTTGATATTCTATATTGCAAATTTCAAATTTGCATAATTGCCATATATGTTAGTATTATTGTTGGAAATTCCTTGTTTTCCTCCAAATATTAAAACTAATTTATTTCAATTGACTAATAACAAGTATATTAAAGAAAAAATTTAGCATGGAGAAAAGGTATGAAAAGCCACACTCATTATAAGGAACATTTTCAACCTACACAATGTCAGCAGCATAAAAATTTTTCTTCTAAATATTTATTTGAAATGTTCATCAAAGCAACAGAACCTCTTCTACTGCTACCTATGAATCATTCTTAAGGCTCAGGGGTTGTAAGAGATGATATGGGACAGGGTTAGCTCTCACTTGTGGTACCATCTTTCTACACAGTCCAGAGTTACTTCAACCACTCACCATCCCTGAGATGATGATCTGCTACCTATTTTGTTGTAAACTCTCTGTCCATTACAGGAGTCTTCTGAATACTGAAGCATTTGCCTTAAGTTACTTTGAGGAAAGAACTGATAAGATCCTGCCAAATTACTGTTTTTACAAACTTTGTTATTCTCAATGGGCTTAATTTTTGAACGAATAGACTAATTTTGACAAAGAAAGTTTTAAATTATGTATTTCAGTCTTGAAGTCAGTTGATGCTTCCTTTATCCATTTGCCAAACCCACCCTGGTCTTGCATAAGCAATTACTGCAGGATCAGAGTGTAGCATTGTGTACAGGATTCAGTTATCAGATAAAATGAAGCTGTACTTTTTCCTGGGTCATATTTGTATCTAAGTCATTTGTTTATCTAATAAGCAATAATGACTGAGCCTTGACCCTGATAGAGTAAACATTCCATATGATTTGTACTCTTCCCATCCTTGATGCATCTTCTCCCACAAATTTTGCTCTGATTTGTTATTATAAATTAGCACATTTTAATTACTTAATAAACAGCATAACAGCAACAGTCAATCTAAAAAAAAGAGTTAGTAAAATCCTGATATGCAATTGTCCACATGGACATAGAATAGTCATCATGGTTCCTCGTAACACACATTTGAGCAGATGTAGTAGCAAAACTGTTTTTCTGTCTTGGGCTAATATGGTCAATTAAAGTGGCAAAGAAGAAAATTTATTATTTGATTTTTTGTTAGAGATTTTTATTTATTTATTTGAAACTTGGAGTTACACAGAGAGAGAAGTAGAGGCAGCGAGAGAGAGTGAGAGAGAGAGAGAGGTCTTCCATCCACTGGTTCACTCCCCAGATGGCCTCAACGGTCGGAGCTGCGCTAATCCGAAGCCAGGAGCTAGGAGCCAGGAGCCAGGAGCCAGGAGCCAGGAGCCAGGAGCCAGGAGCTAGGAGCTTCCCCGAGTCTTCCCACGTGGGTTCAGGGGCCCAAGGATTTAGATCATCTTCCACTGTTTTCCCAGGTCACAGCAGAAAGCTGCACGGGAAGTGGAGCAGCCG